GGCAAGCCTGTGTGACTGTCCCCTGTCCCTGTCAAAGTATCTCCTCTGTCTTTGTTCTCATCCAACTTTAAAAACACATAAAACTACCACGTAAGGCTGATTTATACTTCTGCGTTGAGCCTGCCCCATGACCTATGCAAGCGACCTACGCTGTTGCGAGCATTTATACTTGTGCGCTGGTGTGTCGGTGTCGATCTGCAACCACTCCGCCAAAATGCTAGCTGGCTGAATGCAGTGAGTTTAGGTTTTCCTAAAACATTTTCATAGGAAACAAAACTTAGCACGCTTTGAAATTTTAATGATTATTTCTTTTCAAGATTATCCAGTATATGTTTAAAAATCAGTTAACAGTTTACCCACTCTACCTCTGCATGAGCTTCGAATGTGCTCTCCCAGCCAATCATAATCACTTTCATCGTTGCTGTTTAAATGACTTGTAGTCGGGTTTGTGAGAAATGTGTTTATTTTGAACTCATTTTTTGCTTTATAAATATAGCAATAGTTATCACACAAAAAAATCACATTACGAACAACCATGAACAACTGCAACTGTGTTTTTTTAATAGCATGAATGGCTACAATAAGGCAAAAACAGCCGGCTAGCAACAAGCTAAATGCAACTTGTCCCACACTAAAACACCCCTAAGCTGGAAACAAATAACAACAAAGCATTTGTGTACGTCAGGCTACATCATAGGCTACAGCATCGGCTACGTCATAGGCTATGACATAGGCTACGTCACAGGCTACAACATAGGCTATGATATAGGCTACAGCAGGGGTGTCAAACTGCAGTCCTGGAGGGCCGGAGTCCTGTATAGCTTAGTTCTTTCCCTGTTCCACCACAAATGATTCAGCTCAAGAGCTGTGTGGTAATTAGTACAAGGAGTTGAATCAGGTGTGTCAAATGAGGGGAAACCCAAAAATGTGAAGGCTCCGGCCTTCCAGGACTGGAGTTTGACACCCGTGGGCTACAGCATCAGCTACGTCATAGGCTACAGTGTAGGGTATGTGGCCACGCCATGCCAACAGGGTCGATTCAATGCGATTCAATTTGAAATCAGCCTTTAATCTCCTCATGGTCCTAATGGCCTCCACAACTGAAGAAGTGAGCATGAGCAATGACTGTGTTCCTCTCTCCTCCATGCAGAAGGCGCTGATACTCAGCGTGGCAGAGAACAGGTCCTACAGCAGAATCAGTGATGTCCTGAAGACGCTGCAGGGCCAGGGTAGGTGCTTCTCCCAGCAAGTGGACACCACTAGGACACTCCCTGGGATCAACAAATTTCAGCTGGACCAAAACTTTCAAGAGGAGCACCCTCCAGAAAATCAACTGAAAACCAATGTAAGGAGGAAGGGTTATTGTGATTTAGGTGTCTCAGCATGCTGTGAACTATGATTCTTTTTTTGTGTACAGTACTATGCAAAAGTCTTAGGCAGCCAAAGGAAATGTTTAAATGATGTTTATGTTGGTGTAAAGCTATGCTATTATACCTGTCAAAGTGTGTTAGCTTAGCCATACCATACCATACCAACTTTATTTATAAAGCTCTTTACAAACCAACTCTGGGCCAAAGTGCTGCACAGAATCCAAAAAAGAAACAAATAAAAAGCTAATAGTACATGTAACAGTAACAAACAAAGGCATAAAACAAAATTAGAACAAGCACTTTAAAATACGAACAAATGACGCAAAATAGTCAAATAATCATCTGCCAACAAAGTGCGAGCCATTTCAAAACCCCTGCTAAAGTCACCCCATTACTTCCAGCAACCATCCATACACCCATGAATTTTTTGACTCGACCACAAGCACACCTCGTATAGCTAATCAATATCTCATTGGCTTTTTTTTAACTAATTAAATTCATTAATTAATTAAGTGAGCTGGTGGTGAAGTTTAATAAATACATAGAATGGCTGAGGTGCCCCTGAGGAGAGGCTTGGGAACTGAAGCGAGGTTCCTCTAGCCATACAACTAGATATCAGTAACTTTTTGGAGAATAAGAAATTTAGCTTTAAGCATATCTTTTGACTGCCTAAAAGTTTTGCACGGTACTGCAATTACAGGCATGTGTGTGTACCTGTGCGTGCTGTCCACCGCGTATCACTTGAGATATCTGAAATACCAGCCACTTGTTTTCTTTCATCTGTGTGTCATAAAATATTTATCAGAGGAAAGAGCTAGTGGCTCTGCCCAAATATTCCTGGTCCTGCACTAATCCATTTCACCATTTGCTCCTCAGTCTCACACCACGGGGCATGTGACCCCAGCCCAGTCCCTAATGAGGCATCGCACTGAGGAGATCAGGCCTGGGGTCAGCCGGGCCCCCAGGACTTTCCTGGATGGAGGCAGGCCCCGCAGCTCCAGCATAACCCTTCCACGGGAGCGATGGAAGTTCCTGAACAGCCTGAAGCATGACACCAAGAAGTGACCATAGACTTTGGAAATAAACTTATCAGATTTTTATTTTGCAATTCACGACAGTCTGAAGGAGGAGAAGATTGTTATAAAACTGTTTAAATGAAAATAGACGGAGCTGGAATGCTTAATGTGTCATTCATAGAATGCTAATGTAACATTTGAAAGGAATGAGGGAAGTAAGAAATTATAATGATACTACAACAGAAAATGCACTTGGAAATATCTCAGACACTGCCTGGAACAAAAAAAAAAACTGAATGCACGCAACCACCAACCCAGTATGTTTCTTTGGAAATGTTTTGTTCAAACAACTTCATTCTCAAGTTGCACTCCATGCATGGAGATTTTATACTCTTGCTTAACAAAAACCAGTTTTCTGTCCCTTGAGACCTGGAAACGTATGCAAACTGACCACTTCATACTGCCGCAACAGAATTCTCTCTTTGAGTACAATTCTCTTTGAGATTTGAGACTTCCTAAGTACTCTGCTGGGTCACTTTGAGTCTCATTTCCATAAGTCAATGTCTAACCCACCACCGCTTCTGAGTGCTTCAAACAAGACTAACATCTCACATGAGATTAAAGAAAAACATTGCAAAAGTGATCTGCTTTAATGAATTTGGTCAACGGCAACATGATACAGTTATTCTCTTTGCTTTGTCATAGTGCTCTGAGTTATGATTGTTGTTGAAGTTGTGCCACCATATTATCATCAATGAACAAGGATACCAAACTCAGCCATTTTGGCAAGGAACTTTACTGCTCCGGGAATGCAAGCAGCATCAGCACTAAAAGTCACCATCTACTGGACATCAAGTTCTGCATCCTTCAAATGACAATAATGCTGGTTATTTTGAATATTTCAGATTACATTCTGCTTCAATCTTAACAATCCAAAGAAAAACAAAAAACAAATTAAAGACCCCTAAATCTATCATTAAATCTTGCAAACTATGTGTTTTATTATAAACTTCAATATTTTAACAAATCATATAGTACTATCTGGCCTCCTAACCATCTCCTATATCTGATGAAGTCGCTCCTGCCCCCTCCACCACCTTAGCTACTGTGTGTGTGTGGTGGGGGGTGTGCTGGTGCAAAATGGCTGCCGTCACATCACCCATTTTTATTGGGGTGTTCAGCGAACTTCAGTGGTGGTTCCAGATTGTATGGCGCCCTCAGCCAACGTCCCCACTGATTGTTTATCTCTATTCCCCACCCCCCATTCAGCACTATCATTTTTATGAAGCTATTTGGAATAATACAAATAAATTATGATACATTTTATACTGATTTTATTAATTCCATCATGCTGTACAAAGTTAGAGGTGCCACGTTTCCATGTTTGACTGATTTCCCCGCTGATGGTACCTCGGGCTCCCAGTGGACCAATTAACCCTCCCCCGCCCCCCTCCGTTCTCATACTTCCGAGCGCTAGCCTGCCTAAATTACAAACTGGATTCATTAGGTTAACTGACCCACACGGTAACATATTATTGACGTGATGTGCAAATGAGCGATAGAAAAGAGATGGCGCAAATGTCACAATTGTGTTTTTTTTTTTTGGCTCCCGGCAATATGAGTCCCGAGCGGCTGCCCATATCGCCCATGCCTAAATACGCCAGTGGTGGCGTTCGACAAAACATGCATATACAGTGCTCACAGAAAGTCTTACGACGTTTGCTTAATAAAGTAAAAAATATCGAAATTGTATTGGTTTTCTAACAAAAATCATTAATTTATTCTTTGGTTTACAAAAAAAATGTTAGAAAGTCGTTTTAAGTAAAAGCTTCATTTTAAGTAGTAAGAAATTGAAACCCAAATTGTAAATCTAAAAGCTGTTCCGAGCTAAAAATCCCATAGACAATCAATCTCATTGGGTGCTTTTTAATCAGTAACACCTTTGCAATAACATTAAACACCAAACATTTGTGTTTAGTATCTTTCTCAGTTTCTGCGAGCCAGTGACTTAATAGCAATAAGAGAACTGAATGAGTCAGTCAAAAAAAATAGGACACTTAATAAAAAGAAATATGTGCGAAAGATATGTGCGGTTATGTTATTTTGTTATGAAACAAATAAATTTGCAATATATTTAGAGAATTAAGAAGGCGTCCTAAGACTTTATGAGAGCACTGCAATTGCATGCAATGGAAATTGGTATTAAAACGAATATCCATGTTTCCCAGTCGACCTCCTTTGGCAGTAGTACCGGAAACCCACAAGCAAAAGACAACGCGTGGAAATGAATGTATACGGTAACTATATTTTGGCTTGCATATTTTGCCTTGTATTCCGGAGGCAGAATGCAAAGTCTAAAAGCAACACAAAAATGAACACAGAAAGTATACTGACTGTAGAAAGGAAATGTTAACGTGAAACAAAACCTAAATCACGGATCTTTAGGTCCCAAAAAAGGGACGTACGGTCACTCTATTTTAAACCTATAAAACCATTTAGAGAAAATGGTCAATGTACAATACAAGAATCTGAAAACAATATTAACGATTCAGTATTTCAGATATCAAAACCCATTTCACGCCCAGCACTCTTTCTACAAACAAAAGCGCGGCGACAAAATGTTTGCGCATTACGTAATACGTAACGTGTAAAACGTAACACGTAGCGTAGCGCTTGCTGGACCAATAGAAAATCTGTAAGCTTTCCAAAGCAGAAACGTGGGGTCCGAAGGCTTCAGGAGTAGGCAGCAGCATGGTCAGAGCGAGAAGGTTCGTATAAATTTATGGTTTGCAGTACCGGCTTGATTTAGGCTCATCAATGCAGGAGCGTTTAGTCTAAGTTTTCAGCGTGTATATTCGTTTTACAAACCCTATAAAAGTGGTACATTAATGAGGACAGCAGCTGCTTTTCCACCGGCAGCAAAATAAACAAAAAAACAGGGAAAATATATAAATTACTTCATTTTCTGGGTGTTTTATGGTTCTGCTACCTTTTCTCTGGTTGAATTGTTATAGCATTATTTTAGCGCATAAATGTAAATGGTTGGGTCCCTACTTGTTTACTAAATCGTAGCTGACGATTACTTTTTGCTGTTTTCCCCAATGACAATTTGCATTTTCCTTGCATTAAAGTAGTGGACGAAACTTGTCATCTTAAGTAAAAAAATGTATTGTCTGTTAGTAGGAAAGCCCAGTTACCCCCAGTGTTTTTGGTTTTCTTATTGCAGTCCTATTCACACTTGCCTATGGTTCTTTTCCATCTGTTGCTCCTCAGGGCCGTCCGCCGGCCAAAGGCGAAGAAGGCGGAGCAATATGACAGCGATGATTCCGCTACTTACCGGGACGTGCCAGTCCCCGACAAGGTAGCTATATACAAGCAGATTCTGGTGGAAGTTCCTTACCCTGTCTCTGCATCTAACGGGGAAGTTGCTTGTTCTTTTTATTTGTGGGTTAGTGGTTAGAGACACAGAGTTGTAACCTGACAGCAACTCACTGTCCCAGGAAAGGCTGGAAGCCAAATGGCTCCAGAGAAAGTTTTTGATGGTTTTTCCATTTATTGCATTGTACTGTAATTTTATTTTCAATTTGTACAAAGTAATTATTTCTAATAATGAGATGAGTGTTTTGTGTCTTCCATACGATTTTTTTTTTTTCCAACAGAAATCCTCTGAATACATAGAAGATGAAATCGACGAGTTCCACAATAAGAGGATCTCGGTTGGTATCCAGGGCTAAATGTTTTCTTTATTATCTGCATCAGTGTCACATCATGTGTCTGACCTAAGTTAGGTCTGCTTTGGTGTTTGATATACATACCGATATTCTAATTCACAATTTGCAGACTCAACCTTTTTTGATATGTGTGCATGCACTTATGTACTGGTTCTCTGCAGAATCTCCTTGCACGTGGAATACAAGCGGACAGTGACCAGGAGGACATTGAGGATGAGGTGTGGGGAAAACGTCATGGGAGGGGCTGTCTCTTACCAATGTGGACTTAGGGTTAAACTATTCTGATGCGTCAACCAGCCCCTAATGTTGTGAGAAAAAGTGAAAGTTACACAGCCTATGTGTTTGCACTTTGCTCCAAATAATGATTAAAAAAAACTCCAGTCACATTTCCACAGACTCTTCTTAGGAGTTTTACCAACAGTCTGTATGTGACAGAATCATTACTGTCACATACAGACATATTTGTCCATCGAAGTATTCATCATCCTGATATTAAACTGAGAGGTACTCTCTTCATCGGAATTTTTAATGCTTGTCTGGAGTTGCAGAGAGATTGAACTACTTGTGCTTTGATCTTTAGGATGAGGTGATGGCCCTGGATGACTCTGAAGAGGATGAGGAGGAGCAAGAGGTGGGTGAAGATGAAAAAGAAGAGGAGGAGGAGGAGACAGACATGGAGAGTGACCTTGAAGGAAAGAAAGAGGATGGTGAGTGTTGTCTGTGAGTGGAGTGGATCAGAAGAGAGAGACTTATGGGTGTTCTGATTCGTTGGATAACTCTGTTGTCCGATGTTTATTGTCTTCAGTGACACTTTATTGATTCCATGTAGGGAATTTCTCTCTTCCCCTACCCCATCTTGCTCTCCTTGGCAGAGATTGGTTAAGGGCCTTACTCAAGGACCCAATGACATGTGACCATTCTGCCAAGGCCGGGCTCAAACGGGTGACCTTCTGATCACGGACACAGAGGGTTAACCCGCTGAGCCACACTCTGCCCCTTTTCAATGAGTCCTTGTGACATGAGGGACCTGCCCACTATCATTTTGGCAGCTGTTGGCTGAAGGATGCGCCCTTTTGGTTTAATTTTGAGATGCTTTGTGTTTGATGCCACTCTGTCCTCCTCTTAGACCTCCCCAGTGATATGGCTTGGGGGCGCAGGAAGAAGATGTACTACGAGTCCGATTATGTCACAGTCAGTGAGTATTTGCTCCTCTCACTTTGTAAAAGACCATGTGACTGTCATTGCATTATACTCATGTTTTTGGTATGTGGAATTATTGGGTATGAGAGATTGTCTGGAAGATTTGACTGTATCTATATACATTCCAGAGGGGAAATCTAAGGAGGAAGCAGATGCTGAAGACCTGGAGGAAGAGGAAGAGGCAAAGAACATCCAGAAGCGCTTGGTGGGGAGTCTGAGTGAGGACGACTATGACCTGCATCTCCTTCAGGTACCTTCTCAGGAGCCACGGACATTCTCATGGTCACTTTTCAGCAAGGGAGGCGTCTTTTCACGCAAGTAAAAGTTGCAACCTAATTCTCTGGTGGCTTTTCTGGGTCTTCTCCTATAGGAGCTTGGAGGGGAGGGAGAGGGAGAGGTAGAGAGAAGCCTGGAGAAGGAGAAAGAGAAGATCGTGAAGGACCTGAAGCAAATGTCTCACAAGGAGAAGGTCAAGCTCTTGAAGAAGGAATCTCCAGAGCTTCTGGAACTGATCCAGGACTTCAAGGCCAAGGTACCATGTTGCATCAGACCTTCTCCCTGGTGTGCTGCTCGCTGTTCCTCAGCACCATCATACACACAGTTAGCTTCAATGTTCTTCAATGTGATTCTTGAGGCGGCCTTAGTGATAACCACGGTATGTTGTTTTAGCTGACGGAGCTCCGGGACGAGTTGCAGCCTCTTCTGAAAATGGTTAAGGATGGGCATATCCCTGCGGGAAAGGTGAGAGCCGGTCACAGCGGCACCTTGGGATGGATTTCGGTGTCTGTAATGAACTGGCCATGTAAATTAATCCATTTGTGTCCTTTTGACTGGTTTTCTCAAGGGAGCAGAATATCTCAAGACCAAACAGCAACTGTATTTGAAGTAAGTGTGATTTCCTTACTTCCTCGTTACATGGGTGGTGTGACAAGGGCAATCAGTGTAAGATGCAGGCAGGTAAAATCAGGTCATGTGTGTCACCATGATGGTTGGGGACTGTGGGACCCTAATGTCAGCTCACAGTCTGTCTTTCTGACTACATCTGCGCAGTTACTGCACCAATGTGAGCTTCTACCTGGTGCTGAAGTCCAAGCGAATCCCAGCCCACAGCCACCCCGTGATCGAAAGGCTGGTCTCCTACCGAAACGTAAGACGGCTCTGATCATGTGGTTACTTCTCGTTAAGCGTAGGCCTGGGTGGGGGTGAAGGTCATCCTTCTTGGGATTAGGGTTTCTCCCATAGAAATGAGTGGATCGTCCCCACAAAGATATGTTGAGCTGCACTTGAGTGCAGAAATCTGATTAGAAAATCTTTCTTGGTTTTCTTCAGTGTGTCACAGGGATATCCTTAGCTATCCCAGGCCGGCTCGTTGGAAAGTGCTGTGACAAATATGCAGCTATGTTACTGAAATGCGATGCGTCCTGATCAGGGAGTGCCACAGGGCGGTTGGTTAATGAGCTTTTTAGACACACCTGTTAGATTGTCCCTCACGGTTTCCTCTACCTGCACAGCTCATAAATGAACTGTCCCCAGTGGATGCCAGACTCGCCCCCCAGTTGCGCCGTCTGCTATCAGAGACCCAGCAGGGCACAGCTGTCAGGAGGACCACTGACGCCCCCAGGAGGAAGGTGAGTGCATGGAGGACTGCCAGATGCGGCAAGTCATTTGGCCTTAAGGGGGGACCTGTTATGAGTTTCCAGTTTTTTCCTTTCCTTTAGTGTGCTGTGTAGCTGTATGTGTGTGTAAACGGTCTGCAGAGTCTTAAAATTACAGGTAAAAGGGAGTAACTCTCACCACAGAAACCACTGTTCTCTAATCTGCCTGACATGCCTTATTGGAATTCCAGCCCTTACTTTCTTGCACTGTTTATTTTGACAGCAAATTTTAATTTAGTTTTTGTCATAGTCTTTTGACTAAAATGTAATTTAGTTTGTCATAATTTAGTCATCTAAATTATTTTAGTTTTAGTCTAGTTTTAGTTGACTAAAGATTTACAGTCGACTAAAACTACAGTTGATTTAGTCGACTAAAATTAAAAGTGTAAAGTGTTATGTTTAAAGTTTCCCTTTGATGTCAGATGTTCACAAGATGAAATGAAACCAATGTTAAGGGATGGTATTAAGGTCTGACTGTGCAGTACACAAAGACACAGATTTCACTCTTATTTGAAACACAAACTTATGTTTATTTACTCGGAAACTGAGTATTGTAAAATCAGTAGTGTTACTAGTGCAAAAATAAAATCACTTCAAAGTGCGTAGGCTATAATGCCACCAGGCCTGCTCTCTCTGAATATTAAAATAGAAATATTAAAATAAATATTTGTAGACGTAGTTTATTGGTGATTTCATGTTCGGTGAAGTTTCCGCTTTTTAACAACTATATAAAGTAATGTTATTTGTTATATAAATCAAAACAGGTGAAGCAAAAAATGTACGTTTTCAGCGTTGCCAAATCTCAAGAATCTGGCATGACACTTACACTTTCAGACTCATGCAGGAAATCTTACGCCAAATCTATATTATACCATTATAAACGTGAAATTAGCTACGTCCAAAGTGTATTTACACGTTTAAATACAGAAGCAGACTATTTACAAGGTAAGAAATATTACATATGTGTGCAGACATCTCGAATTGAAAATCTCACTGCAGCCAGCTGGCCGAAGTTGGCAACCCCGCGTTTTATTTGATATAAAAAGTAAAATGTACTGTTTTCACCTGAAACGGCTCGTCATTCCATTTGTGTTGTTACTCCGACAAATATAAAACGGATATGAGAAATAATAAGACCGTCCATATCCTACTCTAACAGCGATTAAAGTGATAAGTTTGCATGTATTTATATTAAAACAAGACTTTAATTTTATTACTGGTGTGGGATTATAGAAAACAAATACTTAAATCCATGAACACTAAAGTATATGACATAGACACATCTGTATTAGGGTTTTACGGCTTAAGTTAAGCACTTTATTTAAACATGCACAATTTTCACATTTTATTTATTTTCTCTTATTTTGAAATGCAGCCCTACCTTTATTTAGTAGATGGTGATACAACTAATACGCTACTTAAATATATATCACATTAAAGAGTTAGACATGATCTTCTGGACCTTTGCTTCAAGAAATTTTCTCTAACTGATCCCTGCCTTACGCGAACTACATTAGTTCTGACTGGATCTCGTCTCTGGCAAACATTTTTATCTAATTTTTATTTGTTTACGAAATTGTAACAATACACTTCGTCATAGTCTTAAGCATTGCGAAATCATTTTTAGTTATCGTCTCGTTTTAGTCTGAAAATAAAGGTCGTTGACGATAAATTTTTGTCATAGTTATCGTCAACAAAATTAACACTGCTTCCTTGACATGGTGAGGTCACCTCGTAAGACGATCCTTATTGGCCACCTATCTGCAAGGATCTGTCTGTAGACTAGGACGGGGCCAAAATGTGTAGGGCAAGCTGACCAATGAAGAGCACGCTGGGCTCATCGGGGGTAGTGACAGAGTTATTGACACAGGAAATAGGGATGTACTCTATGGGGGGAAAAAAAGTGTTTTTAGAACATTGAGGCATGTAAATCTATTCTAGTATAATGACGTATAATAATGACGGGAACATGAGCATAATAGGGCCCCTTAAAGGGCCACCATTCACAGCATGCACGTGCTTGTCAGGGTACTGGAGACGGTGAGTCAGAAGCTGAGGAGGATTCTGACTCCGAGCTGGATGAAGAGGCAGCCCTGCGTGCCTACAGGGAGGTTGAGCGGAGGCTGAAGCTGAAAAGGACAGCCAAAAAGCTGCAGCCGGATGAGGCGTAAGGAGAAAGGCGGGGGGGCTTGTCTGATATGCATGTGGGATGGCCCTGCAGGATGGCAGCCTAAGACTGTGGTCTTCTTTGTTAGAGAGGAAGAGGAGGAAGAGGAGCCAGACCTGGACCCAGATGCCAAGAGGGGTATCACTTACCAGGTATACTAAAGACCACTAAAAACACCACCAGGCTTTTACTGTTTTTTGTAGTTCTTGGTGATACGAGCCCTGCACTGATTTCTCGTCCATCTCTTCTGACAGATGGATAAGAACAAAGGCCTCACTCCAAAGAGGAAGAAGATTGATCGCAACCCCCGAGTCAAATACAGGGAGAAGTTCAGGAAGGCTAAAATCAGAAGGAAGGGCCAGGTAGGTTGGAATTGGTTAGGGTCACGGTCACATGGTTTAAGTGGCCAATGATATGAAGTAGTTGGGGAATCAATTTTGAGTGGCAGTTGTTTTGTCCAGCAGCAGTTTGCTTAGCCTATAAGTGTATGTTTTGCAAAATATGGTTGCCCAATAAACTACACTGTGTTTCAGGTTCGTGAGGTGCGCAAGGAGGAGGTTCGGTACGGTGGAGAGCTGTCTGGGATCCGTGCCGGAGTCAAGAAGAGCGTCAAGCTTAAGTAAGACTCAAGAGCGGTGCCAGACTGCGTGTATGGAGCTGGCTGTCATGTGGCTGAGCTGGAAAAGTCACAAGGATCAGTGGTTTAAAAGTGAGGCTGTTGGCCATGGCCCTGAGGGGGGCCACTTTGTGGCAATATTATTATTTTTTTTTAATTCATGGACATTCAGAACTCCCTTCCACTCCCTGTTTGTCATATTTTACACTTTGACATTAAACATCTTTGCTGAATCATGCTCATATTTGGTTTGTGACATACACACTACGGCACACGTGCAACAGATCTGTGATTTAATGATTGCTCCACCCTCTTGCGGTACACAAAATACAGGCGCATCCCGGATGGGGAGACCGGCGACTGCTGGTACAGCAGTGGTGACGCTGTCTCTCTAGGAGGTGCAAGACAGACTTTGCTATCACTTGTAGTTTTCACACATTTTACATCAAGGCCGAGTACCAGTTTGGATTTATCTAGAGAAGCTGGATAGGTGGGTTCTGTGGAGGGTCCGCCATTTCTAATGGTTGGATTGTGATGGGAGGGGCTTGTCCATGCCTGATATGATCGCCTTAATCCTGCTGGAGAATAAAGTTGCTGTGAGCCGACACCAGGTTGCCGACGATCTTCTCCTCGATCTCCAGCCTGGCCTGTTCCTCGGCAGCCGTGAGGGCCAGCTCTGTCGCGTGGTCCTGTGTCACCACCACCACGTAGCCGCGCCGCGTGTCCAGCACGTTGGCCACCACGGCCTGGTGGTGGTAGGTGTCCAGCGCGCGACGCGCCCGCTCCAGCAGGATGCCCGGGTCCGTCTCTAGCTTGAAGGAGATGACGAACGCCTTCGGGGCCCAGTCCTTCACCAGCGGAGACAGCATCTTGGGTACCATCTTCATGCTGAGCTGCGAGGAGGAGGAGGAGACAGTGAAGGCTGGAAAAAGGTCCAAACAGCGTGCCTCGTCTGGGCTGTTTCAGTACCCTGACTAGCAAAAACTGCATTGGGCAGGAGGTTTGGCTGGGCCTCACCTGAAGTGGCCCTTCGGACGACTGGATCTTGTGCTCCGGCATCTCGGATGCCGGGATGTAGAAATCGGAAACTGCAGCAGCCAGGTAGAACATGGCCTCGGACCCTGCAGGTGGAATGGACAGGTAAGCACGTTCAGCAACCTGCCGCAAGGGAAAATGAATGTGTCCTACCATTACGGGACGCCGACGGCCATACCCATGTTGCTGAGAGCCTGTGCCGCAGCTTTGAGGAGGTGAAGGTACTCCGAGAGTGTGTTGAACTCCACCGGCAATAGCAAGCCTGCCACTTTGACCTCCTGGTAGCGCTGCAGCACAGCCGCGATGCCGGGCAGGGACTCCTGGTCCGCCACAACCCGGGCAGGGGCGCACTCCCCCGCGGCTGGCTCCAGCCGTAAGCCGTCCAGGAGGTTGACGCCAGCGTAGCGGCGCGTGTACGGGTATAGGGAGCGGTGCCGGTGCAGGAACACCACGGCATACCCTGCATCCAGGAAGTACTCCGCTGAGGATGCCCCACGCCGCCCACTGCTGAAGTTGTCCAGGAAGCGGACCGTACGGGACTCCAGGGGCACCTTGGTGCCGCCCGAGGTGACCAGCACCACACGACGGCCTGCAGACCCATGACGCTCGGCAAACTCCGCCATAAGGCCTTTTACCATCTGCACATGGGATGGCACCACAAACTCCTGTGTCAGGCTGCCTTCCACGGTGGAACATCCTGCCTCTGCCATGTCGCTTTGGTCTTGTTAGATTCCTGCATACATGAAGGGTAAGCCAAGGATACACAGGGACATCAGTTGTGAATTTTTAGATCACTAGGTATATTTGAGACACAAGTGCTTGTTCTATAATTTATTCAAACTTTGAGTTACAAAAATTACAAAACTTAATTTAAGTATCAATGTGTCTACTTCCGTATCAGAACAGATCCGGAATAATTAACGTTAAAATGTTTTGACGGTTCATTTAAACCTAACTGAAAGTGATATGTCTCTAGGGGTTTGGGATATGGGGAAGCGGGTATGGAGGTCGAAGAGATGTAGTAGTATAATCCAATACATTGCGTGCACACAATTAACAGGCTTCACGCTGCGAAGCTTGGTAATGATGCGTGTTAATATAAAATGCTTCACTGTTAATGAATTAAGTGTCCAAGTGACCGTCTGAACTTACCAAGTGCAGCTAGGCTAGCTGTCAAGCCCGATACCGATCGTCTAATGCAAACGAAGGAACTGAAAATCTGTTGAAGAAAGAAGGATATGAACGTACAAATGGCGCTGCCGCACGGGCGGACCTATTTGGAGTTTTTCATGGAGGAAAAAATACGTTTGTATTTCAAGAATACATCCTGTTGAAGGTGAACTCGAATAAATTCTAGCAAATTCGTTTAACTAATAGATATATAAGGGCAGTCTCATTATCCACACATGTAAATGAAATTCTGAATGCACATATGTAGTAAACTAATATCTTACTTTGAAAGTACACCAAAAAATACACAACAACCAGAATTGCGGTCCTTCGGTCTTTAAGTTCCCCAAGCCCGAAAAGCCCTGTACAAATGTAGTTCCGGGGTCAGTTATTGTTTCATTCTTATTGTTATCTGGTGCAGCATGTTCAGTAACAATTTACTGACCCATTATGTAGCTGAAGAAAACAAGATATAAAACCTTAGAATCTTGAATTTTAAAATGAGTTTTTGACTGTCTTCATTAGGGGCATAGAGCTTATGTCGTTTTCCTTATCGTTTTCAATATTAGATGCTGTTAAGTCGAGGTTGACGCCAAGCGACCATATAAACGGCATTCCTCATTTTTTTGTCCATCCATCTTGTCATTACACGTGCAGAAAAACACGTCTTCAACTGGGGCATTTGTACTTCACGTGAAAATTTGGCTTGTTTTGATTCACTCCTTTTCCTCGTGCTCCATGGAATTCTTAAAAGCCTTTTCCAGCTTTTTGATTGTCTAGCTTTCGCATTCATAAAGATTAAAATAAAACAGTATATTCTGAACAATTCCGATTTTTGCTCTTAGACATGATAATACTGAAAGATTTAATCCTTTATTGCTTGTTGTCTTCGTGTTGAGGGTTATTCCAATGAGGCAAAAGCTCTCTATACTTTTTATGTTTTAACTATCAACACTAAAGTTTGCTGCCAACCTTGTGCTCACCTTTGTTTGCTTCCATTTTTATTTGTTACATACATAATCAAACGCAGTACAACAAATGACTTTCCACCTGCTTCCTGGATTAAATAAAAATTAAAATAATAATAAAGATTAAAAAACTGCAAAATAAATAGTTAAATAAACTTCTAAGCATCCTGCAGTAATGGAGGCGCTGTCGTTTTAACCATATTGTTGGTGTGCGCTACGTGTGTCAGTGCCTCTGGATGGGGACACCTATCGGAAGCTGAAGCTGGATACCCTCTCTATAGGCGCCCTGCTGATTGTGGGGGGCTGTAATGCCTCACCTGTGTCCTCCTAAAGTAAACAATCGACTCTTTTGTTTGCTGATGTACAGGAGGGGATTGTTTTCCTGGCTAAAGCTTGTCAGGTTCCCCGCCTCCTACTTGTAGGCCAATTCATCATCATTGAAGATCCGACCCGCCACGACTGTGTCGTCAGCCAAGTTGACAATAGTGTCGGAGGTGAATGTGGCTGCACGGTCATGCATGTTATGGGGAACACAAAATGACTATGGCATAATCTTACAAGCCGACTATCAACTAGCTTTAAGCTGCCCTTTGTACGACGGGGCGCAGGGTTATGACGTTAATTGTGACCTTGTATTTCTTCCACGTTGAGTTTTGGCTGTGTTTAGATAAAAAAGACAGTCAGTTTGACGGTGTTTGTGCCTCACCGCAGTGTATAGTGATCACAGCAGGGGACTTTGCATTCAGCCATAGTCCCGCATATTCCTTATTATTTTTCTTTCAAGTGTCCTGAGATATTTTTCAATTTCCACTATTAGTATGGTGTCATCAGCATGTTGAAGGTCGTTAATGTTTCTACCATTAAACTTGACTCCATAGTTGTCTTCTTCCAGCCCAGCTTCTCTCATAAGGCCTATATTTTGCATATTTGTATATGCAGAAAAACTATAATGACAAAATACAATCACGTGTTCCTTTATACTTGTCTGGAACTAGTCAGTTTCCCATATTCCATCCAGATTGTGTCATGTCTAGAGATTTTTCATAAGAACGAGATTCTGGTTTTGGTAGGCTACCTCAACTGAGAACATTCCATAGTTTGACATGGCCAGCACAATGCAAGACTTCATTGTAATCAATAGTGTATAGTTTATTCGTCTGTAAAATCAACGTTTAGAAAATTATTGCTAAATATGACACTAGATGGCAGTGTTTTATTTCATAGAAAGTCCAGACGGAAAACGGACGTTTGTATTGTGTTTCTTCTGGTTGTTGTGGGAAAAAGTTCACAGAGTTCAAGCAGCTGGGAAGTTACTTATCGGAGGGGGAGGAATTTTGGACGGCTTTGCACCAGAGAAATGCAGGTTATGAAATTTAATTAGAATTAATTCAAATCAAGAGAACAGAGACAAACTTAATTAATCTCACGGATTATTTTACTAAATTTAGATCGGGAGTACTTGGAGTTAAAAACTGAAAGGCTGGAAGGGTGACAAGATTTAGTCCTTTTGCCTCGAAGTCTACTACGCGATCGTCTGTCAGACTTAAATCTCCTTCGTGTTGTGTCGCAGAGTGAATGCAGCCCTCCCATATTATTTCTTGAATCAATGGTGCATTGTGCAGTCAGCGGGAAAAATAAGGAAACCAGGAACCTCGGATGGGGAGCTCCCGGTCTGGCTGAATAGATAGTGGGTTTGGTTTATTGTGAGTCAATGCGAGGATGTCTCCCTGATCCAGAGTGGTCCGATGGGGGTCGAACCTCCTCTCCAGCAAATTATATGCTTGAGCCCCCTCCCCACTAGAGTGCGGGGGCTTTTCCGCACTCCAGCAGGACTCGAATAACGGGAACACTGCACTGTCAGCATGAATCTGTCTGTCGTTGATGCCAAACCAACAGCGTCAATAGCATAGAAAACCGACAAATTATTAATATATCTAACTATACATCACTTGTGTTCTTCATCTTCCTTTTAGTGAACTGAGAATTACGGTTATTCTCTCTAGACTTCTTACGTGGCCACAGTGATTTCCTTTGAATGTAGTCATTTTCAAATAGGCTAATTCATGGATCTTTATAATAATTCGCTTCCTGTGTACAACAAATTCCCCCAAATATACTTAAGTCTTCTTATATGTAATTTAAATATTTTTCTTTCCGCAACAAATTAGCACAGTTCTCACTTTGTCAAAACCCTCCATCACACCGATCCAAACTCGGGTGACACTATAGTACTTACAAGTGAAAACGTCATGAAAATGTGCTCAGTATGAAATACAATGCTTTTTTGGCAACCAAGCAAAAGCACTATGTATAGCGACTAGAATCCAACACTGGTACTCGAAAATCCACTTTTACATCAAGACCACGTCATATTAAAATCAGCCTATATTCTGACGATGCACGGCCTATCTGTCAGCCCACTGTGACACGTACAGTGTCATCTTTATGTTTTTTCTTCTATGCCAGATAAGCTTTTAAAGATAAATCATAGACTGTGAGAGCCCAGCTGCTATGGGTTAATTATTATTTGAGATTCCCCACTTTGCAACAATTTAATAGTGTTTTAACTTCCTCTGTATAACAAAACGACTAAACTGTCCACTGTTTTAATGCGGTTAGTGCATGCTTAAAGTGTCCCGTTAAGAAAAATCGGAAAAATCAGCTGGACGAAGGAATTTCGCGTAATTTATTTAAAGAGGTTTGAGAAACACACCCTGCTGTGTGCAGCACGCCTTTGACTTCTTAGCTATGGTTGCTCCGCTGTACGCTGCAGTCCTCGGGACGGAAGGAGGTCTTGGACACAATCTAAAGCCGGAGATTCAAAGGGCTCGAATTTCGTGTGTGTGCAACCAATTACGTAAGGTGCAAACCTTAGGCAACATAATTTCAGTGAGCTGCTTCCCAAACAATAGTCCAGGTGGTAACAGTGTTCTAAATACATAAGCGTTAACCTAACGGAGATATCTTTCAGCTAGATTAGGGTCATCTGTGTTTCTGTGTGATCGGTGGTTTTAAAGCATTTGGAAAAGTTCATTTTATTATGTAAATAGAGAATCTGGCTTATAAAAGAATGGAAGCTAAGCGGATTCATTGTTATAATAAACAGTAAATAGTTAAATTCTGGTAAAGCCACATTTTTGTGGTCCTGCGTGTTATCTCTGCAGTGCAGGTAGTGTTGACGCAGTCTCCGGACCCTGGCTGAAATCTGTGTCTTTCTGAGCTCATGCCCCTGGTGTTTCAGAGCGGGCACAGCAGCGCCACTGAAGGTCGTATCCGTGGCTAGTGGGGTTCCGCTTGCTCGCCTCTGCTTGCTGCGGTGTATCGCTGGCGCGTTTCCAGCGTCTGGATCTTCACCAAGGTTGCTGCTGAAGGGCTGGAAATGACCGTGCAGCTGCTGGCCGCGGCCGCTTACCGGGTGACCGTCCAAGAGCTGGCCTCGGTCGCTTACTGGATTGACTGTCCAAGGTCTGGCGGTCGCCCTAATTCGGGGCAAACCCCCAAACTTAACTACGGACCCGGGGACACGGGACCTGAAGCAATGGGACATAGCGGGAACCAAAAGAAGCGGTTCTGCATTCTAAAGATCTGATGGCAGGTGCTGAACCGTCATAAATTAGGAATCTGAACGCTGGGATTACATAGCAAAGCCCCCAGGGACACTTAACTCACAGGAAGGGCAGCCATTTCACAGAGGGAGAAAAAACTGTGATTTCTAGTTTTTGATGAAAGCAACAGGAACGTAGTTAGTGTGACGGCTAAAGAGTGGTCAATGATCTCGAGCAGGAAGCCTCCGCAATGCCGTGTAGATGTAAAGGCTGAGAATGGTCACGTCGCAGCGTTGACGTCTCATCTCGGTCGGTATGAGTGTCAGTGTATAACCCGAGTCCTAGGTGACAGAAAATATTTTTTTAAATGGTCCTTCGCACAGTAGCTCCGCAGCTTGATGTTTTAGTATTATTTGCTATTTGAAGGGTTTATAAAAGGCTCGTTCAACGTGCTGTTAAATATATATATATATATATGTCCTATTTAGAAAAAAGCATTAAAATACATTTTGTAATGGGAAAAGGATAAAATGAGCTTATTACGTATTTATTGAAACATAGGGGAGTTTGCTTATTGTCAACCAAATGCAATTTCTTACAGAGGACCAGCTACAGAACCCTGACAAACCCACAGCTGTGAGTAATGCTGTTAAAATCCCCCCCAACATTCCTTTTTTTGTTTGCCCCAGAGGATGGAACGGCTGCTGTTGCCAGGGGGGGATCTCATTGTCCAATTGTGGAATTGCAGACCACAGAGGGATTACCATGGGACTGCGTGACTCAGTCTGCGAATCAGGGCTCCGTCTGCTAACAGCTCTGATGGACTGATGTACCTTGGTGGTAAATTATGATGCGTCTGGCAGAATGTAGTTGAACGGAGCAGAAAATGTCGAATCCGTCAGCAGTTATGATAGACATGTGTCTGACACTGAGAATCTTTTGACGCATTTTCAAAAGTCCCTGCGACCAAACAATATGTGGTGGTCCAGGGCAGGGCGCATGCGGCGGCAGCCCTGCTGGAGAGGCAGCAGCAGATGGCAGGCCTGTCGGCCTCCCATGGACTCCCCACTCTGCTTCCTTTGTCCCAGGTGGCAGTGCCCTGGGGATGTGATCATAGCCTGTCAGGGGTGATGGTGGGGGGCGGGGCATAGCAAGGAGGGGGTGGGGTCAGACGCGGCCAATGGAAGACCCCCGTGACAATGATTCATCAGCTGGCCAACAGAAAACCTCGCTTTATTGAGACAGGTTAGTGCTCACAAACCAATTTCCTTTAAAAAAAAAAAAAATCCTACACAATAAATTAAAGGAAAATGAAATTTAAAAATGTTAAACATTATGTAACAAGCAGGGAAGGGAAAAAGTCCACATAGACTTTTATGGACATAGCATGTTTCTGCAGCATTAAAAATGGGGTTTATGGTTCCTTCAGTACAGATCAAGCAGACCTCCAGGCAGCATGGAGATGCTTCCGGGTGAGGTGGTAAGACTGGGCTGCTTCCTCAGCTCAATTTCTAAAACCATCAGCACGGTTCAGCACGTGTGCAGTCCAGGGGGGGTAGACACCCAAATTCAGCTGTGACTGGTTACCTGTGCTTCAATGGGGAAATACAACCTCATGACTCCCCATAACTAAAAATCACATTACCTGTATCACCCTTGTACTTTCATATGTCTATTTTTCCAATGGGAGAATGAATGTGAAGCCTTTTCACAGAGTCGGAGGGGGTCAAAGGGGGCTGATTGCTGTGGATGTTGTGGATAGAGCAGGGGTGGGTAGAGGGTAGAGTAGGTGAGTGTAGTCATCTTACATGTGATGATACTGTAGCAGATGTGGTCTTCGTGCGATGGTACAGGTGTGGGAGTGGTTAGTTTGGCTGTGATGATGCAGCACTGAGCCTGGCAGTTCGGACTGAAGACGTGGTGAGCACAGAGATGTGTGTGGTAGTTGGATACTGTAGGTATCCAACTACTGTAGGTTGAGACGGCATGGCAATGGAATGTGGCAGAGGTAGGAGAGGGCATAGTGGATGTATCTCATACGCAGCTGAGCTTTAAAAGTGCTCATGCTAATCCCAGAACTGGGTGCATCGCAACAAGAACATTTCTATTTTCGCATCTGGTCCCTTTTTTTCCACCGTCAAGCCACCTGGCTGAGATGATCCTTCTAGCGCGGGCTGAATTCGGTCAAGATCAGCCTCCCAAGCGTATAACTCCTGACAGCATTCGAGATTAACTAAAAACCAGGATGATATTTTCAGTCCGGCTGGTTCACAACGTTAGCGAGCAAAGCTGTAATTTATCCTTGGGTTAGGCGGCCTGTTTATTTTCATACATACGGGCTGCATTTTACAAATGACGAGGTGAAAATCGAACTACTTGTCTGTCTTGCTACGTTTAGGCTACATATTTTGTGTGAATCATTCAGGCAGTGAAAAGTGACTCTGCTTTGTGTCGAACCCGCAGTGGCACCCAGGTAGGAGACCACACCAATGTTGTCCCTCCTCAGACTGGTGTCCGCTTACATAGTGGCCAGCTGGGAATATGCTTCCTGCTCCTCCAGCCTGTCTGATCACTGGGCTTAGGTGATGATTTGGTGAGGCAGAGGGTTGAGGTATCTAATTATGAATTGACAGACTTCGCAATCTCCTGACTTACCTGCGTCAGTCAAAGATCAATCTTACATACAGAGAGCAAATTTGCAAAGCTCACTCAGATTTGGTTCCCAGTACTGCAACATATGATGAGGATGCCTGACTTTAGGTCATCGGCAGTCTCATCTCAAAAATAACAAAAAAAAAAATGGACTGCTTGACTTTTGCAAATTTGTTCTTCAAGTGTTAGCCTATCTGCTCCCATATCAAACTAGTGCCACCAAGGGGTGATGTAAACTGAACTATGGTGGGGGGGGGGGACAGTGGCTGAAGGGAGAAGCCCATCAGACTTTGCTGGAGGTAGCATGTCGAGAAAATAATGTTTACCTTTGTTTCGGGTTAAACATGCTTATTTTAGCATCTAGGGTTTAGGGTAAACGGGGGGGGGGGGGCTGTGTTTTTGTTTCGCGACACATGAGAACACCATGATGTCTATGTGTGTGTGTGTGTGTGTGTGTGTNACAGCCCCTACTTGGTTGTTCTGCTGGACAGAAGGCTGCCGCTTTCTGCACGGATCACATGAAAATGACACCAGTGGGATGGGGAGGGGGGGGGGGCAGGGGTCCTAAAGAAATACCTCCCTCCTGCGGACTCAGCTAAATGAGGTCCTTGATCGATAATGTACCCATTGTCACTGGTGCTGTATGTGTGTGTGTGTGTGTGTGTGTATGTGTGTGTTATATTTCGTGTTTCTATGGGTGTGTGCGTGCACCACCATGCAGGACGGATGCCTCATTTAGTCAATAGCTTGATCTCACTGGCAAGGAGAGCACTGAAGTTGTAGGAGGCGTCTGGAAGCTTGGGGGTGGGGTGAGGGGGCGGAGCCAGCTCTGGGTCGCTCTCGCTGGAGGTAGAGCCCACACTCATGGCACAGACCACTTCTGGCACAGCGCTGGCTGGCGGACAGGCCTCGGGTTCGCTGCCCGTCTCGCTGGTGCTGGACACCACTGAGAGCAGGGAGCCTTTGCGGCCCAGACGGCCTGGCAGCAGCGAGAGGGCGTAATCGGCCACGCTGCCCGCCACGTCCATGCCGCACACCTGGTCGAAGGCGATGAAGCCCACGTTGGCGTTAGCCTCGCACACCACGAAGGAGCCGTCGTTGCGCTGCAGCAGGTCGATGCCGCACACATCCATGCCGAGGATGTTGGACACTTGGATGGCCAGCTGCTTGCCCTGCTCACTCAGCGGGTACATCATCCCGACACCACCTGAAGGGGGCAGCAGAGCACCTTTTTGTTTTTTAATCCAATGCGTCTTCAACACATATAGTGCCACCAGCAGACATTGTACCACATCACACACACACACACATCACATTCTCACACTGCTCACACATCAGCTGACCAATACATCTTTCAAGAAAGTGTCAACTATAGTGTACAGCGGTCACCTACCCAGGGAGCAGTTGCTCTGCATGCGGCCGTCCGTCGAGCAGCGTAGCATAGATCCCACTACTCGCCCGCCCACCAAGATCACCCGCACGTCTTTGCCGTGGGACTCCTTCACATACTCCTGGAATAGGTAGGGGGCGTCGTGCCGGATCAGGTGGCTGAGGTCTGAGAGGTGATGCTTGTCCCGTGCCAGGAAGACAGTCTTTCCTGCGTTGGGTATAAAAGAGGTAGGCATGGAGTTATGGATGTGGCAGACGTGCCAAAGCGCATGGGTTACACGTCGTGGCTCGCTGACCTCGGTGTCCACGTGCGTTTTTCACCACCACGGGATAGCCCAGCGGCTCCGCCTCATCGATCATCTTGCGGAAATTCTCATGTCCCCCTGGGAATGAGATCAGACACACAAGACACGCGATGTGAGAACAGGGGCTGGCCTTCTCGTGCTGGAAGACACCAACGTCTCTCCCTGTCAAACTCACCCTGCATCTTCTCCGACACCCAAGAAGAAAAATCAACAAATGAAAACTGAACATCTGGCATTTTCAGACCGTTTTTGGCATGTTTTCACTGTCCACGTGGGGACATTTCCAAGGAAAGTCTGTCTGTGTTTCTGTACGAAACGACATTCTGATGTAAAATCACGTCCAGGCTCTGCCCTTCTGCATGAAAGGTCACTCAGCACACTTCAGTCCGCCACTGAGTTGCAGCTTAAAGTGAGCAAATTACTAATCGCCAATCACTAAGCAGAGGTACCTGAGATGAACCAATACCCTATGTGTCCGAGAGACGGGTTTTTTGCGTCTCTCGTCTTCATGCTTTTGCATTGGACTCCCAACTGGGAGGGCGGACAGGGAATAGCCGGCTCCTCTTATGCATGAAGGAACCTCTTATGCATGAAGGTCATGAGGTCCTCACATAGCCAGCAGTGTCTGGGGTGGGGAGTGCTTTCTGATATGCCCAGCCATCGAGGTTTTTAGTAAACCTCGCTTGTGCAGATGGGGGTGCAGGCATAGTGATAGTCACCAGGATGCGCACACCAGCTACTGCAGACGTGTCAACAACTGCTGAAGCTTTGAGTCATCGTGCTGATGCATCTGTATGGAAGCTAAAACTGCATAGCATTAAAAGGGAACAATGTGGTCGTTTTCCAGCACATAGTTTATGATAGTCTAGGGATATCTGTGCTGTTTTCTCTTGCATTTTAGACTTGAAATTGTAAAATAATGTTGCATTAATAGGCATGCCCAGATTTAAGTCATTCCATCCTTAGGTTTCCAATGGATGACAGCTGGACTGAAGAAACCTGCAAGGTCTTGGTTGAGGAGGTCAAACGACCTCATGAGGTCCCTCAATAGATGTTTGAAGACATCTGAAGTTAGCTGGAAGCCACTTTGCACCTACCATATGAGAAGGTGTCCGGCAGCGGGACCCCATGGCCGGCCAGCTCCTGGAAGGTCCAGAATTTGTTGACGCAGTTGAGGATGGCCTGGGGTCGGTTCAGCAGCCGGCAGCCCAGCTTCTCCAGGTGCCGCAGCACGGTGATGTCACTGTCTGACTGCACCCAGGGTGTGGGGACCCGCACCACGACCACCTGGGGGTAGGTCGTCACCAGCTCCTGGTCCACACGCAGCCCTGAAGAACCACCGGGTTGCGTCAGCCCATGTTTGTCCATCTGCCAGGGCTTCAAACACCCCACAGCTTGGATCATGAGCCCCCCAACAGTTTTAGGCCAAAATACTGCTGATGGTTTTAAAATGTTGGGCAGTGCGGCATCGAGGCGATCTGAGGCTGTCCTCTGTCTGAACACGGGCCAGACACCTCACACACACAGAGCTCAGGGTCACATCGGCCCCACACTGCAGCTTAAACCTAGACTGCCAAACAGCAGGCTCAGTGCCATATACCTTCATACAGACCTTACACGCGGTTTGTATGAACAGATGTTAAGCCTGGGGATGTGACCTCTTTGTGGTGTGGCCTTGTGGGCTTTTATGGTGTGGCTCTCAGAGTGTGTGTCTGTGGGGGTGTGGTCTTTATGGCACAGTTTTCAGATGGTGCATCTTTTGGAGGGCGGGGTCTTATCGTTAGGCCTTGAGAGCATGTGTCTGTGGGGGTGTGGTCTTTTCAGGCAGTGGCCTTTTGAATGTGTGGTCGTGTCATATGATCTATAAATTAAATACAACTACAGATGGGTAACAGGCATACAACAGAATCAGAGGGTGTCTGCGTTTACAGCTACGGTGACCATATGCATTCAGCCGCAGCCAGGTGTCCATTTACAAGTACAAACATGGAACAAAGTACAAATATGGATCACAAAAGAGGAGGGTACTGGGAGACAAAACTGGTAAGGGTAACATGGGAATGTGCTGAGAAACAAAGGGCCATCGATGGGTAAACTGAGGCTTTAGGGTGACACTAATACAAGAGTCCCCCAGAGTCACTGCCCTTTACTGTTTGACACTGGTACTGGACTCCCCCAGAGTCACTGCCCTTTACTGTTTGACACTGGTACTGGACTCCCCCAGAGTCACTGCCCTTTAC